AAGTCACAGTATCAGAATCAAGTAGCACAAGCTTCTGAAAGAAAGGAGAGAATGAGGTGATAGAAGAGGGGACCGGAAGAGTGGCTGTCCTGGAGGTATGGGGGGCCCCCAAACTCTCTTATGTCTATGACTTTCCCAGTCCTCTGTGAGCATGTCCCATCATCTTTCCAACAAATCTGTGTCCTTGCTTAAATTGGTTAAGTAGGACTTTGTCACATAAGGAGACTGATAGGTCAAAATTTCCAGAGAGATGGACCACTCATGACTCAACACCCAGTCCAAAACAGTATAAAAATAATGGAGGTCTTTCCACAGAACATTCTGTGTTACAGTTCACATTTTTGTGCTTGAGCCAAAGCCACTTTGTGTTTCCTGTCTTACACCCACAGGGCCTGGCATCAGTGAGGTTCAGATATTTTGAATAGCATACAGACAGCAATGCTGGAATCTGGGAAAAATAAGAGAATCAGCTTCCATTAATAAGGCTCTTCATTGAGTGGCTCCCTTCACCCAATTTTAACACTTATGTACTTTGTGTACACCTCTGATTTTACCTTACATATGCACTGAATGGCTCTGTGGAGCTCATGATCAAACTTGGATAGCATTAGCAACTTTGTCTCCTTTAAAATTCCACATGTAAGTAGCTTGTGGTGATGATTTTGGCTTCTTGTCTTAATCACTTTTTATGTAGAGTAAGTCATATTTTATGCGGTATGGAAAAGAGCCATAGAATACTGAGACTCAGTGAGAACAAAAGAAAATTCCAGACAGTAAGTGTTTCTCTGTGGTCCAAGCAGCTCCTCTAGACACACTTTCCTTTGATATCGAGAGAGAATTAAAACAAATGCCTCTGAGGGAATTCCAGAGAAAAATACATTGGCTACAATTTGCTTTGTCTCAGAGAATTGGCTTCAGTTCCATGGAAGTCCACCATCTAAATTAAGCAAATGTTTAGTTAGCACAAGATTCATTGTCAAACATTTTGATAAAAAGACTCTGATTAGATACCACTGATTATATATTTGAGGGAAACCTATAATTTTTACAAAGCTTTGATGCAAATAATTCGTCTCCATATCAGTTTCTTTTTGATAAAAATTCCTTATGAAGCCAGGAGCCAGTGGGTTGTGCTTTTAATCTTGGCTACTCAGGAGGCTGAGATCTGAGGATCACAGTGCAAAGCCAGCCTGGGGAAGGAAAGTTGGTGAGACTCTTATCCAGTTAAATCACAGAAAAAGGCAGTAATGGTGCTGTGGCTCAAGTTGTAGAGTATTAGCCTTGAGCAAAAAGAGCTCAGGGACAGTGTCCAGGCCCAGAATTGCAGCCATTGATAGAAGACTTGATCCCTTAAGCTCCACTTTTTATTGTTATCCAGGCTCTGGTCTTCAATATTCCCCTCCGCCCAATCTGGGATTCCTATCTGCAGAACTGGGCATCTGAAATCTGTTGGTTGACAGAAACAAGCTCATCACCAACAAGAATGGCAAAGTGTTTAGAATGGTGAACTGACCCCTTCTTGGAAACAGTCTTTTTTTTTTTTTTTGGCGGTCATAAGGCCTGAACTCTGGGCCTGGACGCTGTCCCTCAGCTCTTCAGCTCAAGGCTAGTGCTCTACCACGTCAGCCATGGTGCCACTTGTGGCATTTTCTGCTTGTGAGGTGTGGGGAATCGAACCCAGGGCCTTGTGCATGCAGGGCAAGAACTCTACCACTGAGCCACCTTCCCAACCCCTTGGACAACAATCTTAAGATTTCAAGTACACTTACAGAAATACTCCATTTGTTTCTAGAGGATTCCTGGTTTTAGTGAATTCTGTGAGTTCAGTTGGTCTCAAGATGATGCAGGTATAACAGAGGAAATAAATGTCAGAAAACAATAGTCCCCAAAATGACTCCTAAAGTCCACCTGGGAGCCATTCTCCTGCTTGTTCATTGACTTTCCTTCTATGGACAGTCACTAGCAATTATTACTCACCCTATAACATTCATCTCACTCTCTAGAACAAAGACAGCATGGCACCAGGCAGGAAAGGAAGAATGTTGGAAAGACTTAGATTGCATTTAGTCAGAAGCTGTGCTTGGAGGGCTGAACCCTAGGAATGAGGAACTGGATGCTGTGATCAGCAGGGTCAAGACAAGGTCATAGGAAGGAGAAACATTGGTAAGTAGATGGGATGGTGCTGTTCACCTGTCTCTGTTACCTATGACCAGCTCTAGTGAGAGGGAGCTGAGGCTCAAGGACCCATGAATAGAAGTCAGTGATAGGTAAGCAAAGTGAAACCCGAATATTGTAAACCTTTTTAGAAACAGGACAATGAAATTATTAAATATTGGAAGCCAAGAGGGAAAAATTTAAAGAAAAAGCAAAACAATCTGGCAAAAAAACCCAAAAAACAAAGCAGCCAGGCACTGGTGGCTCATGCTTGCAATTCTAGCTACCAGGAGGCTGAGATCTGAGAATTGAGGCTCAAAGCTAACCTGGGAAGGAAAGTACTTGAGGCTTGACTCTTATCTCCAATTAACCACCAATAAAGCCAGAAGAGGGACTCTGGCTCAAGTGGTAGAACTCCAGCACTGAGTAAAAAGACCTCAAGGCCTTGATTTCAAGCTCCACAAAAAGTAAATATAAATAAGATAAAATAAACAAAAGTAAAAGAAAACAGAAGCTAAACCCACAAGAGAGTGTTAAGTTATCTCTAATGTCACATGGAGATGATACTTCCATAAATATCCTAAGGACCTTAAAACAGTAAAAGTATTCAAAGAGTTACTGTGTGCATTTGTGGGCTCACACATGACAACTAATTCAAGTGTTGCAGTGCCCTGTCCAGCCCATCACTGTGATGTGGGGACAGGGCTCAGATGCTTCTGTCTTTGGAAAAGATGCTAAGGCGGCCATAGAAACTGCTTAAGCCATGACCCCTCCATTAGAATATGTTGCAGCTATCTCTGCTTCCAAGCATGACGAAGTAGCTGGTACTGGAAATCTCTTCTGCCACACATAACTAGAAAAATAGACACAATAAGGGAGACAAATACTTTCAGATATTGGATGAGAACCAGCCTAGGGCCATACCCTGAAGAGAAAGTAGATAATAGAGGAAGCCATAAGATGCTTCTGACTTCCTGCCTAGAGTCATATTTCAGAGTGTAGGACAGTAGAAGCAGCGCCACTGAGGATCAGCAGTCTCATTGACTTGGGGGCACAGAATTTGGAGTTGGGAGAGGAGGAAGTGAGTAGAATGTTCAGAGCAGAGGACTGGAGGAGAGTTACAAGGTGAAAGCACTTACACTCAAGAACTTGCAAGGGACCCCCTTGCCTTGGACTGAGTATTAAGTATGCTTACACAAGGTGAGAATCCATGAAGCTCTGCAGAGAACTACACAAAGCTTAGAAATGTGCAGCCTGACCAGTCAAAAAATAGGGAGAGCCGGGTGCCGGTGGCTCACGCCTGTAATCCTAGCTGCTTAGGAGGCTGAGATCTGAGGATCACAGTTCAAAGCCAGCCCAGGCAGGAAATTCCGTGAGACTCTTATCTCCAATAAACCACTAGAAAGGCAGAAATAGTGCTATGGCTTAAGCAGTAGAGCACTCACCTTGAGCTGAAGAGCACACGGACAGCGCCTAAGCCCAGAGTTCAAGCCCCACGACCACCCAAAAAAAAAAAAACCAAAAACAAACAAAACATAGGGAGAGATCATTAAACACTTGGACCTTCAAGAATGACTGGCTAGTAGGACTAAACTAAGCTCTAGTATAAAAGCTGCGCTACACAAAAAGTAAAAAAAATAGGATTTAAAACAAGCCTTTGTTTAAGGCTTCTTTGTCATACAAGTCCACAAGAACCTTACCCACTTACCAAAGTAGAACTCAAGGGTCTTTAAAGCAAGACAACAAAATCTAGACTCAATACTACAAACAAAAGCTTAGTAGATCACTGTCAGCAAGCATATACTATAAGAAATATTGAAAGAAGTCCTTAGGACATAAAAATAAATGGTTCCAGAAGAATTATTGAAATGTATGGGAAATTATCAGAAAGGGCAAATATGTGAGTACATATACTGTGTTCTCTTTTCCTAAAAAATAAAAAAAGTTATCAGTTCAAAAAGAAAAAGAAAACAATACTGCAATGCTTATGTGGAAGTAAACTGTTTCCTACCCACTGCTAATAATACATTGTGGAAGCAAAATAGAGGGGAACTGTCAAAATGTTTCCCACATTGTTTATACCCACATTCCTTAATAAAGTGGAAACCCACTAGGTAGGGTCAACAGCATCTTCAACAAAACTCCAGAAGGCTCTTAGATAGAAGTTGGAAATCTGCTTCTCAAAATTATAAGTGCAACCAATTCAGAAAAGCCAAAGCAATATTTTAAAATAAGGATGGTTATATATACCTAGCTTCTGACCTTTTTCGCTTGTCCTAGACATATACTAGTTATTGCAATAACCATATAAGATGATGTTAAGTGAAATGAACCTCAAGACAGGGACATAAGTCATTTTTTTCTTGCTTGCTATTGTTTCTAGTGTACTATGTGATTTTTTTGTTTCTTTTGTATGTTCTTTTCCCATAGTATAACCCCTGTTTTCACTGTATTTGATTGCAGTGCACTGCATCTTGTATATACACTTTTCTAATTTGGAGAGGGGAGGGGAAAAACAAAATGCTTAAATAGCATTTTGTAACAATAAGATGTACAAGACACTATGTTGCAAACGAACTTTACAACTTGTGGGGGGAGGGAGGAGTTGGGGAAGAGGAGAGGGAAGGGATTGTAGGGGGAAAACAAAGGAGGAGGTAACAATTCTCTATAGGAAATGTACTCATTACTCATGCAACTAACTCCTCTGTACAGTATTTTTACAATAAATAACATATTAAAAATAAGGATGGATGGATGATAAGTTTTTAAATAATTTACTTTGTTGTTTGAAAGGTGATTTACAGAGGGATTAAAATTACATGAGTTAATGAGTACATATCTTCTGTTCCCTCACTCTCGCCCAGTCCCTCCCTCCCATCTCCATCCACAAGTTGTATAGTTCACTATCATCAGTGTCTAGTGAGCTCCATGGCTGCACTTTGTCACCCTTTTTCCTTCAAGTTCTGATAATTAATCTTGCCTAGATTCAAGCTGTGACCCAAAGCTAGAGTAAGCAAGAAAGTATAATGTTGGAGTAAACACATACAGATCAATGAAACAGAATTAGTATTCCCAAATGAATCAATCGTGTGTGTGTGTGTGTGTGTGTGTGTGTGTGTGTGTGTGTGTGTGTGTGTGTGTGTATATATATATATATATGGGTGTCTACTTCCACATACCACCACCACCACCACCACCACCACCACCACCACCACCCCTGTTTTCAGCAAAGGTGCCAAGGTAATCCAAATGGGAAAATTTTTCAACAAATATTTCCATGAAAATGAGTTATTCATGCAAAGGAAAAAAAAGCCAACACTCAAGTTACCTCAAAATAGTTCATGGACATAAACAAAAAGTTAGGCTTTTAAATCATTTTTAAACAAAAAAAAACTAGAAGAAAAATTTTAAGAGTGCTGTAAAGACTTCTTAGATAAGATAGGCAAAAATCATTAACCACAGAAGAAAAAAAGGTGATATATTGAACACCATTAAAACAATAAAAAATATACCCTTCTGTTCTTTACACACTATTCAGATGATGGAAAGGTTCCAAGATTAGAAACAAATAGGACTGGATTAAAGAAAGTACAGGCTGTGAAGGACTCACCACACAGCAGGTCTGAGCCACACTGAGAGTCAGAGGGGTAGGGATGGGGGAGGCATCAGTAAGGTGTGCTGCGATTGTCAGAACACTGAAGCTGGTCTATTCTGTGACATCACACACCCAGCCAGGGCTCTGTTTTAAAGAGTCTGTAACCACAGGCAACAGCAGTTGGTCAGCGAGAAAAGCCATACCACCCAGTGCCTGGCAAAGTCTTCAAGGAACGATCACCATAGCCTATATCTGTGTTCATACACTGCACAGCAGAAATCCCAGGAGACTTTTTACCCCTTCTTCCTTCCATGGAACAATCCAGATGAGAGTCCCAAGTGCAAAGTCTAGCCCATGATCAAGAACAAAATATCTGGAATCGCCAAAAGAGACAACAAATTCAACAGAAAAACCGACACCGAAGGAAGCTGAGTTAATTCAATAAACAAAATAGAGTTTTGAAGAAATATAATTTATATCTCTAGTGAAACGAAAGAAGTTTCTATCAAGAATAAGTTGGCAAATTCTTCCAAAATACAAGGGTCTTAAGAAATAGAAAGTTGGGGTGGGGATGGAGGGGGCATGGATCACCGTCTAGGTTTTGAATTGCCTGGACACAAAGCAAGAGGATTAAGAGGAATGCTGTGACATTTCAGCTGAGATAATGGAGTGTTGAAGGGGAAGCTTGTTGTGATTTGGTGCACCCATCAGATCACACTACTGGAAACTCAAACGTTAATGTCACATGTTAATGGAGGTGAGGTCTTTGGAAGGTAACTGAGATTGTCATCATGAGGATGGGACCACCACAATGGCATGAATGGATACTTGCTCTGTCTCATGATGTGATGCTCTGCTCTATCATGGGACCTTACAGAAAGCCCTTACCAGCAAAAAGCCCTCTGCAGATGCCGATGGGACTCTAGATCCATGAAGCTAAGGAAGTCACTATTCCCAGTCACAGCGACAGAAATGGACCAAGACTGTAATAACCCCTGGGGCCCAACAATCAGCAGGGCCCAATAGTCAGCGTGGCCCCGTGGCCCGGCCTGATGGAGGGGGCGGGGCATCAGAGGCGAGCCTCACTGCTCCACAGACCAGGCCACCAGACAGAGCAGGGCTTCAAGAGGCTGATGTCACCGCCCCACTGGGGGTGCCGCCGGAGGGGCGGGGCATGCCGCCGAAAGGGGCGGGGCCTGCTACTGGAGGGGTGGGGCGTCAAGCCCCCCCATGGTGACCTGTCAGGAAGTGATTGGACAGTGGGTGGTTTGGAGGAGGAGCATGAATGGCAATTGGAAAGCCGTTAGGGGAAAAAACAGTGTGGAGGAAGGAGAGGAGTAGGAGTGGACGGAGGGATAGTAGGAGGGGAAAGCCTGCCAGAGCAGGGCAGGCCTGTGGAGGACAGGGCAAGCCTCCAGAGGCCATTTGGGGCTTCTCAAGGAAGCTATTTGGGGCCTCCTAGAGGGGCCAACTGGGCTTCCTTTGGAGGTCATTCGGGCCTCCTTTGGAGGCCATTTGGGGCCTTCCTCTAGAGAGGCCTGTGGAGAGGCGCCTCCTGGAGCAGAGCAGGGCAGGACTGTGGAGAGTGGAGAGGCCTGCAGTGGAGGAGGAAGGGAAGAAAGGGAAAAGCCTCCCCTTTGGAGGTTTGGAGGTCTGAGGTTTGGAGGTTTGCAGACCGACTCATTGGTGGTTTGCAGACCAACTAATAAAGGTTCGGGGGGGGGGGTCAGGACTGCCTAATGGAGGCCTGGAGGTTTGGTGGTCAAGGCTGCTCTGGGTTCTGGGTATCTAGCCCAGAAAAAGGTAGTCTCAAGACCCCTTTCTCATGTAAATAGTGTACATAATCCTCTTTTGTTCACCTCTCACTGGAGGTCATAAGTAGATGATGCTATCAGTAGGTTTGGAGAGATAAGAACAGAATTCAGGAGTGAAGAGATTCAAATAGAATTCAGAAGATACCTAAGTAAGGCACTTGTAGTTTATTCAGTTGTAATCCTAGCTAATCAAAAGGTTTATATCTGAAGATTGCAGTTCCAAGCCAGCCAGGGAAAACAAATCTGAGAGATCCTTCTGTCCAATTAACCAGCAAAAAGAAGTGATAAAAGTCAGAAGTGGAGCTGTGGCTGAATTGGTAGAGCATCATCCTTAAATGAAACAAACAAGTCTGAGCAAGAGGCCCCAATACCAGCACACACATGTGTACACAAGTACACACACACGTACACACAATACCAGCACACCGACAGGCATGCAAGCACACACACACACACACAATACCAGCACACACATGGGTGCACAAGCACACTAATATTTAGATATAGACTTGATAAGACACAATGACTGATTGTAGAAAAGAAAACAGAAGGCTGAGCAAGGTGCTTTCTTGTTGGTGGTGATGGTGGTGGTCATGGCTTGAACTCTGGGCCTGGGATCTGTCCCTCAGCTCTTCAGCTCAAGGCTAGTGCTCTACCACTTGACCCACAACACCACTTCCTTTTGTCTGGTGGTTTATTGGAGATAAGAGACTCATGACTTTCCTGCCCAGGCTGGCTTTGAACTGTGATCCTCAGATCTCAATTTCCTGGATAGCTAGGATTACACTATCACCTGGTGCTTTCTAGGTGTCTGGCCTAGCAGCCAAGTGGGTGGTGCCACATTCAAAGAGGAGAGATACAGAATTGAAGTTAAAGATGGGACCAAGAAAATGGGTTAAAGCCTAAACACATAGAATTTTTCCAGCCAATGGGTGGAATCTCCACTGGCAGTGGCAGTAGACTTTCCCAGTGGTCCTCTGGGTTTTCTCCAATAGATATGGAGCTTACAAGAGAAACATAGCTGGTAATTAACTTACGGAGCAGTCAGCATGTGGGGATCTCTGGCTCTCTGGAAGGGGAGCTGTTCACTTAAGGAGACAGCAACAGGTGTCAAGTCACATGCCCAGAACAGAACCTAGAGGAACACCAAGATTTATGGGTAGAAATGTCAAAAGAGAAGCCTAGCACTGGAGTGGAGATGGTGAGCATTGGTGTCTTTTAGACATTTAAATCCTGGGAAGGACAAATGATTAGACTATGTGTAAGTCTTTAGTATAAAAGTATCTATTCATTATTTCTTCTCTCAAGGGCAAGAAGCACTAATGCCTTAGTTCCTAACATGGAAAAGTCAGGGAATTAGAAGGGACAGAGAGAAATTCCAATCACACCTTTGTCCTGCCCAGAATCAGCCATGGCAATTCAACACCATACCAAGGAGATAGCATGATGCTGAATGAAGGAATCAACTATCCAATAAGCCACCACCCTCATTCATTCACATATTTGAAAATCCATGCTAAGTTGTGTTGACAAAATGATGTGACAACTTGAAGATGGGGGGCTTTGTTATATATAAATGTCCTAAGGTAAAGCTTGATGTGAGGACTATCTAGTTACAGCAAAAATCCCCAATAATACATAATGAATGTGGACATGCTACAAATTATGATGTTACAAAGTGTGACGTACACACATTACAAAGTTACAAAGCATGATGTACACATAGAATTATAACACTTGATGTAGAGCAGATATGCCAACCACTTGTTAAACTCAACTAAAGTCAACTGTGTTGGCCTGTGTAATTCATTTGACCATTACTAAGAACAGACAGCAGAGTCAAGTAAAGAACAAAGAGGGAGAAAAGGCGGGAGAGAAAGATCAAAAGCATCAATCTTCTGTGTGCTTGTGCCGTCTGAGACGTGAATATGCACTCTTTCATTGACTAGGTGAAATCACAAGGTAGACGGAATTGCTATCAAGGATAGCCCCCCGCAGGTGCAGGCATAAAACCACTATCAGGTCTTCCAATGCAGAGTCCAAGTATCTCCACTGTTGGCATAAAGAACTCGGCTTAAAAGAAGAAAAATGAACTGTACTTTCAACTAATTCAGTTTGAACTTTAAAGTTTTTTTCGGGGGGAGGGGCTTATTTGAATTCCAGCAAGCCTTTTAAATGCCACTCTGGAATGTAGAAAGAAATTATATAAAGAAAGGAGAAGATAGATGGGGAGAGATTAATAAATTACTATCAGGAATACCTCTCTAGCCCCAGTATTTGAATCCCTGTGAAGTCTGGGGAGGGTTTCCTCCTCAGGTAGCCACTATCTCCCAAAAGGTCAGGCAGGAATGGCTCAAGCAGTAAGGAAAGATTTCACAGCATTGGTATCATCTAGAATCTTCTGTTGTATATTCTCAGTGACTGATGCCACAGCTGCCTTTCATGATCTTGTCTTGCCCTCACATGGCTTTTTTGTATGAGGATTTATCTCGAATGCCGTCTTTTATTTCCACTTTGCCTGATGACTTGCTGGATTTATATATTC